GGCTTCATGGAAATGATAAAGGACATCATTGATGTGCACAGGCCGCCAGGAAGCCAAACCACCGAGACTAACATTGCGCCGAAGACGCCGAGACATGTCGAGCCGGCACCACGAACAGGCGCCATCCCGAAAGAACGGGAAGTGTTCCAGCACGAGGCATTTCCACCACCGGTGCCACCGAAGCCACACAGACAAGGCGCACGAGGGGCGGAGTATTCGTCTAGCAGCCAAGTTTACGTCGCAGATGCTCAGTCGAGGAACTGGCGTAACCCGAATAACCGCCATTTCCGAGTAGAGGATCCGAGAGCGGATGATTTTCAACCGGAGGAGGCGTACGCCAACGTACGAGAAACGGCGTACATGAAGCTCGAGCAGTGGAACGTCAAGTTTGACGGCGAGGACGCGACGAATTCGGTCGAGGACTTCGTGTTCCGCCTGGAGTTCCTGCAGAAGCAGTATCAATGCCCGTGGAAGGAGGTCCTGCGCGGTTTCCACCTGCTCCTGACCGGCCGCACCCGCGAGTGGAATTGGATGCACGTGCGGCATTCTAGGGTCGACAGCTGGATGCAGCTGCGGCATGCCCTCTTGGACAGGTTCGGGGCTACCAGACGGAACAGGTCAGCGAAGGGGTGGATGATTATATCCATCACATGCTTCAACTCGCCTCGCGATTCCAGAAGCCGCTGAGAGACCGCGAGCTGGTGAAGATTATAAAGCGTGGTTTGAAAGAGAGTCTGGCGAAATATATCTATGCCATGGATGGACTCACCGTGGATGAGCTGCGCCAAGACTGCTTAGAAGTGGAAAGGCACATGGGTCGCAGAAGCCGGACGGGGTACCTGCAGCCGTCGCGTTGTCCACAAGGAACGAGGCCCGTAGTCCACGAGGTTGAAGTACCACCACATCGTACAGAAACGCCGCCGGGAGAACTGGAGGAAGCATTCGTGCGAGGCAGGAACTCATCCCGACTTGTATGCTGGATCTGCAGACAGTTCAATCACGTCTTTAGAGACTGGCTGTCCAAGGAGCGGAAAATATTCTGCTATAGGTGTGGAAGGCCGGACACTTTCTGCTCCCAGTGTGAAAACTGTCCGGGAAACCCTAGAGGGAGCGCGGTGATGGCGGGACAGACGCGTTCCGGGACGGCGACAGCGGGGAAGCAGGAGAGGGGTACCTACCAAGGCCAATAATCTTTGGAAAGGAGATGCAGATTTGGGATAAGGATCAGGGTAAGGCTAATTATAATAATAATATAAGCAAAGGAGAAACACTTATGGGCTTACCATATGAAGAACGTTTTCGATCATACATGTCGGCCCGAAAGATAATTTTTGGTGAGCGACAGCTGGAAGGGATGACACTAGCCACCCGGAGAGTGGTGAAGGCACGTGCTCGCTTCCGCAGACGCAGGATTACCCGGCGTCAGGTCGTCGAAGCGGTGAGACGGGAGGATTGTATAGACCCACGCGTATTCGGCGAAGTGGAAGTCGCCGGGCCAATATGAAAGGGTTGCTGGACACGGCGGCCTCAGTCAGTCTGTTGGGACGAGGATGCCGGGAGTTAGTGGAGGAACTGGGATGGGAAGCGCGGCCAAACGAATCGATGGTAAGGACAGCGGCGGGTGCCAATCGCCCAATTTTAGGTCGCGTTGTTCTCCCTGTGAAATACGAGAATAGAAAGTAAAATATCGTATTTTACATGTGCCCGGACCTGCGACAGGAACTATACCTGGGAACTGATTTCTGGCGAGCCTTCGAGATTTTACCAGAGCTGCTCGGTCCGGCCAGGAAGTCCGAAACACCACCAGAGGTATCTGAGGTAACGGTAGCGAACCCAGAGGTGGCTTATTTACCGTAACGACGAGGACTGCGCGGCGGGTCCGGAAATGTGGGACCTGGACAACGACCAGAGGAGTCAGTTGGAAAGCGTGAAACGCAGATTTCTCCAATTTGAGAAGGATGGCCTGGGGAAAACTCACCTGCTGCAGCACCGAATTCAGCTGATCGAGGAGCAGAACCCATGAAGGACAGACATTATCCGCTGTCTCCGGCCAAACAGGAGATCGTTTGGGCCGAGGTGGATAAAATGCTAAAGTTAGGCATCATCGAGGAGAGTGGCAGCCCCTGGAGCAACCGGACGACGGTGGTGATGAGGCCTGGGAAGAACAGGATTTGCTTAGACGCCAGGAAATTAAACAGTGTGACGGTAAAGGACGCTTACCCGCTTCCATGCATCGAGGCCATCCTATCGCGAATCGACGAGACTCATTTTATCTCTAGCGTCGACCTTAAGTTCGCGTTCTGGCAAATCGAGATGGAGGAGAAGCTGGGCGTATACGGTGTTTACCGTACCAGGGAGGCCGCTGTACCAGTTCCGCCACATGCCATTCGGGCCATTTGCAGGCTCATGGACTAGGTAATCCCGGCGAATCTGAGGTCCAACGTGTTCGTATACCTAGACGATTTGCTGATAATATCGGCAGATTTCCCACCGCACCTAAAATACTTGGAATTGGTGGCCGAGTGTCTGAGGAACGCGAACCTCACCATAGGCATGGCGAAGTCAAAATTCTGCTTCCGCAACCTAAACTACCTCGGTTTCCTCATAGGCGTCGGGACGCTGCGCATGGATCCGGAAAGAGTATAAGCGATCCGGAACATCCCGAATCCGAGGACGGTCAAGGAACTACGAAGCTTCTTAGGTACAGCGGGGTGGTATCGACGATTCATAAAGAATCGGTACCGTTGACTGATGCCCTTAAGAAGAGAACGGGTAGATTTGTGTTGAGTGACGAGGCCATGGAAGCCATAGAAAGCTTGAAGTTAGCCCTCATCACAGACCCGGTGTTAGTCCACGCGGATTTTCGAAGACCATTCTTCATCCAATGCGACGCTTCTCACTACGGAGTAGGAGCCGTGTTGTTCCAGCTAGACGACGAGCAACAAGAAAGGCCGATCACAGTATTTTTGACGTTGACGCGAAGGACAGACTGGCTGTAATCCGAAGCCAAGTCAAGGACCACCTGCACACCGCATACGAGCGAAGTCGCCAACGATACGACCACCGCGCGCGCCAGCTCCATCTGGAACCGGGGCAGGGAGTGTGGAGGGGCTCTTCGCACTAAGCAGCTTCGGCAAAGCCTTCAATGCCAAGTTCGCCCGGAAATTCTTGATGAGCCGAGTCGTCCGAGCCGTGGGCACCAACGCCTACGAGTTAGGAGATCTCCAGGGACGCGTGCTAGGCGTCTTCCACGCAAAAGATATACGAACATAATCGTAATTTGCTCACCTCCCTGCCAGGCAATGGCGGCGGTAGCGACCGTCCTCCTGTTTTTTTCTTTTGGGTCAGTGCGAAAATATAGATTACTTGTCGTGGGTGTGGCCTACGTTGGGCATCGTTATTAGCCGGCTGGGTCAATCTATGAAATGCGCACGCAGATTCCTTGTAACGCTCATTCATGTCGTTACAATAATCTGCGTGGTGATGTTGCATTTGACGTTATCGGCAGCACCGAGGGTTTACTTAGTTGGTTGCGGGCGATATTATCGGCCACGCCGATATCTTTTTGTCATATGGTCAGAGTATGCGGGGTGAAGCTGGGCCCACGGCGGAGCCCAAATTTTTGAAAGGTGGCAACGCCAGACTTGCGATCCACGGCGCCAAAAGCGACGATTGCTATTGGCCGCCCAGTTCGCTCTTAAAGAGAATATGAGAAGAGTGGATCCTATGCCCTTGGCCGTCATTTGGGCCATTGACCCAAAAAAATGCAGCTGTGCAGATGGTGCCCGCCTCGCCAATGTATGCGTGTGCCGAAATTCGGCACCGATGATGTTGCTGCCCAAATGTACGAAGAGTTCGATTTGATCAGCGGTTAACGGCGGGCGTGCCAGCTCGAAGTGAGCATAAAATAGCGCATATCGGCTGAAAAGATTCGAATTTTTTTCCATCTGGCAAGTTATTATTTTTTTATTTATTTATTTATTAATGGTCGACAAAACGAGTGTCTTCCTCATTATTCAATATATTGTACAGCAGAATTATATGCTAAAAGCCTAGTTAAAGGATACAATTTTCTAAATAGCATCACCGACCGATGGAGGTGTTTTATTTGCCAGTCCGGCCAGCTGTGCCCCTTTTCACAGCTAATTTTGTCAGTGACGCTATTAGAGCCTACATCTAAGCAGAAGGTTGTAAGTAGGAAAAGAGTGATCTCAAGTAAAATAAAAAATAATCTTAATTTGCTATATAAATAAAGAAAATACAATAAATAGGAAAAAAGAAAGTAAGAAGATTGTTAATAAAGTAATGCAATGTAAGTTAGATAAAGAGTGTTAAGTAGATAGGACAAAGAGAAAAGTAATGGGAAATCACCGACCCGGTGGGGGAACATTTTTCAGCCTGTCCGGCAAGCTATGCCCCTGCTCATAGCTGGGAATGGTCAGCGACTTCCCGAAGGTATCCTGAAAGCAACGTTTTTATTAGGGGTAGAGGCAGTTCGGTAAAGAACACGTGATGCAAACTATTATAATTTTTACATAGCACGCGAAATGGATTGTGCATAGAGTAGTCTGTTGTACACGTAGATAGTAATAAGGGGCGATAATTTCTGGTTAGTCTAGCCGGAACATAGAATTGAAGACACCCTAGCAGAAAAGGAGAATCTATGTCGCCAATAATCAACTTATGTAGAAGGACAACACCGAGAATTGTCCTACGGTTGGTTAACGACGGAAGGTTGAGAAGAAGCAGTCTGCTGGAGTAGGACGGCAACCGAAGATTAGGGTCCCAATTTAAGCTTCGTAAGGCAAAACGCAGAAATTGCTTCTGAACAGATTCAATACGATCCTGGCTATTGTTATACTGTGGAGACCAGATGCAAGAGCAGTATTCAAGACGAACAAGAGAGATGTACAGAAGTTTTGTCATAAAACGATCGTTAAACTCTTTAAGCCGGCGTGTAATAATAAATAACCTGACAGATAAATGAAAATTTTGGTTTTGTTTGTTCTGCAATTTAATAAATATACGTAAATTAAACCGCTCGAGTCACAAAATATATAAGAAAAGAAAAAACTTAAAACTTAAGTGCGACGAGACGAACCAATGAAAAAAATAAAAATTAACGGCTCCCGAAAATAAGGGACCAGCTCCCGCACCAGAGAAGCCCGCGAAACATACTAACGGCCAGGATTCGGCTCAGCGGTGCACACCAGACATATCCATGGCGCCGCCAGCTAAGCGTCGGCACAACCATGAAGGCGACGAGACGAGCCACCAACGACCGGACACCAACAACGAAAAAGCGACCGCAGGCGAGACCACGCCCACATCCTCCGAGTGAGTCCGTTCCATTTTGCTCATCCTCGTTCGAGCCCTTGGCAGAGAAATGATGGAGACTCCTTATCGTACTCTCTGAAAAGGAGCAGATTTTTTTTGTCGTTAAATTTTTTTTTTTTTGTATTTATAAATGACATCTATACATACATAGGCACTTACGTCGAGCTTCACTTTAGAGTGCGAACGGTGAGGGAAACTCCAAAGGTGATGCATCTGCGCCTGTAAAATATAAAAATTTAAAATTAACACTGGCGCGAACTATGCTCACATACTTACCTAGTTGGAATTACCCATTTATATCGCCCCAGAGAGCTCTTTAGGTTGGGTAAGGTAGAATTAAGCGATTTAATACAGATTCATATCACCTACCTGTTGCACGACTGATTATCGTGATATACCCAGTTTTAAGTAGTTGTGTGGGCACATTGTTGCTCAATCGGCGCAACGATTGCCTCTAAACTGCCTCCGTGCGTGTTTCTTTTGCGGCGACTAGCAATATCTTTGTAGTATTTTGTCGCCTGTTCCATTTAGTGCTGTTAAAATAAAAAATCGAATTCTAGAAGATAAAAAGAAAATTTAGGAATTAATACACTTTGTTCATACGTATAAATATATGCAATATTAATACGCACCCGGGGAAGACAAGTTCACTTGCATGAATACAAATTCATCTGAACCTCGTGCAAATTAGAGAGAAATAAAAGATATATTAATGCCAATAATTATAAGATTACACAAACCATTATACGCACCTGTGAAGTTAACGAAATATCCACTTGCATGATTTTCTAAATAGCTGCAAAGGGAAATGCCATAAGCAATGAATATAATTGCTATAAATTTTAAGAAAACGCAACCAATTAAACGCACATATTGAAAGAAAGCATGTAAATAAAAGTAATATTGATGGGTAATATTGATGGGGAGAGTTGGCATAACAGGCGACACGGGCTAATGTAGGCCATTTAGTGGCCAAAACGTGGGAGACGAGTAGGTGATCGTCTCATGGTTGGGTGGGTACGCTGGGTCCGGAACCAGGGCCCGATCTGAAAGAGTAAGGTGGATAAAGTGTTTTTTGTTAATTTATATTGAGTGTCTCACCCTTGTTGTTTACATGTTCATAGTTGTTACAGCTGTTTATTTTGTTCATGAGTTAGAAGTTCCGATTGTTTGACGATATCGATTTGTGGTTCGCTTTGCATAGTGTTGTGTAAGTCTGTTATGCTACAGACGTGTAGGTTCGTTGTTATCGATTGTGCGGACTGCGGGCCAGGGATGGGACTACACCCAGAGAAACCGATGAGCCAGTCGGCGCTGCCCACCGAGAAACAAGCAGTTCCGTAACAATCGGAGCGTTGTCATGCTAAATATGCTAGTGGAATTCAGCAGTAATGTGTTTAAAAAGAGGAAAAACTGTTGCAAGTATGCCTGTGTAGTTGCAAGCTTTTTTGCAACCAATTAATTCTAACTGCTTGTGCAGCGAAATTCAAACACTTAGATTAGTTTTCAAATGGATTTATTTGCCGCGCAGGGCACTTATTAGAATTTATAAGTTTTAAATTGTTGCTTGGCAGCCAACTCGAATTAGTTGTGCCTAGGTTGCGATCAAAACGAAAGACTGACTGGTTATGACAATATGTAAAGCGAATCGAAACGAAACTCCAATAAGACGCTCGCCGGTTAGAGCGAAGGGCAGCAATGCAAGCAAAGCAATTCAGAAGGAGAGTGGACAGCAGCTTACAAAGAGCGCGCAAAAAAACTATTTGCTCTTAGGCTGTAATTATGATTGTTATTTTCTGCTGTTGGATGATGTCCGCAGCCGTCGGTGTTATCTCTGCTGTTACTTGACCAAACATTCTCCCCCCGTTGGAAGGCAAGGGCTTTCAACATCATCCTGTTTGGGCAGCAAACACAGCTTTCGTACAGCTCTACGTATGACTCCAGTCGCAGTTTGAAGCACAGCAACTCTGGATACCCCATCAGATCCAGAGATCAGCTCTTGCACTCTGGCGAGTGGCCACTTCAGCGGCGGTAGATTCTCATCCTTTACAAGGACAACATCGTTAATGGAGAGTCCAGGCTGAGGAGTGCGCCATTTGGAGCGCTGTTGAAGAAGCGTCAAATACTCTTCGCGCCAACGGGCCCAGAATACTTGTTGGAGATATGTGACGCGCTGAAAATGATTAAGCCGATTGAAGTTAAGCTGCCTTAGATCGGGCTCAATGTATGATGAAGATGGCGCTGTACCCAGGAAGTGTGCGGGTGTCAAGACGTCAAGATCACCTGGATGCTCTGAAAGTGGAAGTAATGGTCGAGAATTAATAATTGCCGTGATGTGGCAGACGAGCGTACGCAGCGAATCGAAATCCAAAATGGAAGAGCAAACAGATCGATAAAAGTGGTGCTTAGCAGTCTTCACAGCGGCTTCCCATAGTCCACCAAAGTGCGGAGAGCGAGGAGGGATGAACAACCATTCAATTGATTCGGTTAGGCAAAACTCGTTAACGGCCTTGACATGCTCGTCTCTCAGGAACAGGCGGTTCAGATCTGCTAGTTCGTTCTTGGCACCTACGAAGTTTGTCGCATTGTCAGACCAGATCCTTGAAGGTCGAGAGCGAGTCAGGATGAAACGTTTTAGGGCGTTTAGAAACGATGTTGTGGACAAGTCCTTTACAAGCTCTAAGTGCACCGCCTTTGTAGCGAAGCATATGAACAGACTGATATAGCATTTCACTGGTGGCCTGTTGCGCACTTCGTTCTTGTAGTAAAATGGTCCACAGTAATCAACGCCAGTGACCATAAAGGGATACGATGTATTAAGACGATCAGCTGGTAGGTCTGCCATTATATGCTCGGCCAATCGTGGCTTGGCACGAAAACAGATTATGCATTTGGCAACAATACTGGAGACTGTTTTTCGACCGCCAATGGGCCAGTACTGGAGCCGAATCGAAGACAATAAAGCGCGAGGTCCAGCGTGTAAGTTTCGTTTATGAAAGTAAACTATGATTGCTCGCGTCACAGGATGCTGACGGGGCAATATAATCGGATGTCGCGCTGAGAAGTCCAACGACGAGTTTTTCAGCCGTCCACCGATGCGAAGTAGGCCGAAGTCGTCAAGGAATGGTGCAAGAGAGGCCATTGAGCTAGACGGTTTGACATGCCTTCCTTCCTTCAATGCCTTGTAGTCATCGCTGAGAGTAGCCATTTGCACTGACCGCAGCAACCAATGTGTGCCATGATGCAAGTGGTCAACGGTTAGTTCAGCTCCTCGGATTCGATTTACAAATTTGTAAACATAAGCAAAGACCCGCTGCAGCTTGGAAAACGAATTGATGAACTTGCAACCAATCGAGAGATCCGGTTGCGCTGCAGTTCCGAGGAGTACCTTGTGTCGAAGTTCTGGTAAGGATTCGACAGGTACACAGGAGGCAGGCCACTCTTCCTTTCCCTTACTGAGAAAACTCGGACCATGGGCCCATAATGGAGACCGGAAGAGCTCACTAGGCAGCGCTCCTCGTGAAATTATATCCGCCGGGTTTAATTCGGTGGGAATATGATGCCATTCCATTCCAGTGGTGAGCTCTTGGATGGCTGCGACTCGGTTGGCAACGAAAACATTGAATTTCGAAGCATCATTGCGAATCCAAGCCAAAGTCACGGCAGAGTCTGACCAACAGTAATACCGACAGTCGAACACTTTCATTTGGCATATTTCGCTGAGAAGTTGAGCCAGTAATGCAGCTCCGCAGAGTTCCAGCTTTGGTACCGTGATGGTTTTCACAGGCGCGACACGCGATTTGGAGCATAAGAGACGCACGCTGGTGTTGCCATTGCACTTTGAGACTGTATAGACGCATGCTCCATAAGCGCTTAGGCTGGCATCACAAAATCCGTGAATCTCCACTGTACTGTCTGATGAGAGTGCTCGACGGGGATACTGGAATTGCTGAGTATACTCAAAATCAGCGCAGAAGTTGACCCAGGCTGTGCTTAAGTGTACAGGCAGGCTCTCATCCCAGTCCAGCTTTTCTCTCCAGAGATCCTGCATAAAAATTTTCGATTTTGTTATTACGGGACCAACAAGACCAAGGGGGTCGTAAAAGCGAGCAATTGCGGAGAGTATTGACCGTTTTGTCAGTCTGGAGGGCAACCTCAGTGGAGAGAAGGAGAAAAGGAAACAGTCTGAAGCGGGATCCCAAACGAGGCCTAACGTTTTCGTGATGTCACTGCCATCGTCAAACTTAAGCAGCGTTTCTCTATCCTCTTCCGGTATGTTTTGGAGTACAGATGTGTCGCTAGAACACCATTTGCGCAGCCTAAAGTTCCCCTTGGCGAGTAGTCCAGATGTTTGTTTCAATATCTCAATTGCTTCTTGAACACAGCTACCACCAGAAATGAGGTCATCCACGTAGAAATCTCTTTTAACAATGTCAGAGCCAATAGGGAAAGTTTTCTGCTCATCCATGGCCAGTTGGTGCATAGCTCGCACTGAGAGAAACGATGCTGGTTTTGTGCCGTAGGTGACGGTGTCTAATTTGTAAATCTGTATCTTCTGATGCTGAGACTCACGCCACAAGATACATTGAAAATAACTGTCTGCGGGTTCGACTCGTACGCATCGATACATTTTGCATATATCGCCTGTCAGGGCGACTGCAAATGTACGAAACCGCATCAGTATCGAAAACAGCTTCGGTTGGATGGTAGGACCTGCCATCAGTGCATCATTCAGCGAGTGTCCAGAGGTAGTAACTGCTGAGCCATCAAACACGACCCTTAGCTTGGTTGTAGTGCTATCCTCCTTCAGCACGCAGTGATGTGGCAGGTAGTACTTGCATTGGCCCAGTGCAGCTGAGGTAACAAGTGACATGTGACCCAAGTCAAGATACTCCTTGATAAATGCTGCATACTGGGGTTTCAATAGTGGATTACGGTCTAGTTTTCTTTCTAAGTTCAGGAATCGACGAACCGCCTGTTGATAGGAGTCACCCAGCGGATACATGCCTAGACGTAGCGGTAAACGAACTGAATAGTCGCCAGTCGACAGACGTTTAAAATTGGCCTGAAAGTGTGCCTCACAGTCGCGTTCCTCCTTGTTTGGTAAGGACTCAGGGTCGGTGCAGCATTCCAATTCCCAAAAACGACGGATTAATTCATCAATCTGTGTATTAGGCTGCAGATGCGAGTCAACCAGCAGATCTGGATTCTCCATTGATCTCATGGCCATGAATGATGATTTTCCAGCATGTGAGGCACCTCCCGTAGCCACCCAACCAAGGCGAGTCTTTTGCAATATCGGCAGTCCAGCAGCTAGTTTAATCTGGCCGACGCATAGCAGATCGAAGAACAGACTGGCTCCAATCAACATGTCGATTTGCTGAGATTTAAAGAATTCAGGATCAGCTAGTTGTATATTTGATGGAATGTTCCATGATGCAGGGTCAAGAGTGAAGCCAGGCTGATTATCGGTGATGGATGGTGCAATCAAGGCCGGGATGCATGTGGAGTACTCCGACACTCGAGATTTGACATTGATGTTGACCGAAAACCCATCGGACGCAAATGCTGCATCACCAATGCCAGAGACGATTGCTGTTGACTTGAATTTGCGCAGCTGGAGCTGATGAGCAAGACGAGAGGTGATGATGTGCAACTGCGACCCAGAGTCGAGCAACGCACGGCAAGGCACCAAGGAGCCAGCGCGATTTTTCACGTTGATGACGGCAGTGGCAAGCAGGACCACATCGTGCTTGAGATGCTGGGCGGTAGTGAGAGGCGAAGATAAAAGTGCCGCCAAGGTGTTTTGGGATGACGAATAAGTTTCGGTATCTTGAGCATTGTTTGGGCTAGAAGCAGCGATGTGACTGCTTGTGTTGCCAAGATGCAACAAGCTATGATGTTTGCTTCCACAAACTCTGCAAGCGCTGGAGCCGCAGACTCTCAGCTGATGTCCCCTTTGCAGGCAGTTTAGGCACAGCGCAAGCCGCTTGGCTTCGTGAAGGCGCAGCAAGGGCGATAAATTTGCGAATTGCAAACATTTATAAATAGAGTGGCCTGCGACTTCACAAAACACACAAGCACTCGTTCCATTCCTAGTCACTACAAACGTTCTTCTACTACTGTTGTTCTGGCCCACCTGGGAGCTAGGCGTGTACATTGCCGTAGCGTGATCCGCATTTTCCAGCCTTTGGCAACGCCTCTCTATGAAGGTTGTAAACCGCTCGCATGATGGTATGACGTCCAACGGCGCATCATCCTCCCAGCTAGCCTGCGTAACGCTATCTAGTTTTTGCAGCAACGTATGTACTATGACGCAACCGGCGATCTGTTCCACACTGCCCATCGATTTTAAAGCACGTAGATGAGAGTTGAGCTTATCTGAAAATTCGCGCAGCTGTGCAGTCGCGCCCTTGTCCACCTTTCTCAAACCCAAAATTTCAGAGATGTGTGCCTGAAAAATAAGACGCTTGTTATTAAAACGCTTATCAAGCAGTTCTAAAGCGGCAGCATAATTTGCGTTTGAAATTTCCAATGAGCGAATTGTATCCAGCGCTGTTCCTTTAAGGCATGACCGTAGATGCTGGAGTTTTTCAATGTTGGTCAAATACGGATCCTTGTCAATGACCGTGGTGAACAGGTTCGAGAAATCGGCCCATTCTGTGTAGCCTCCACTAAACTCCGGCAATTTAAGTTGAGGCAATCGAGAGTGGTTTGGAACAACAAAGGTAGAACGCGAGTCATCGGCTGCGGCTGAATTGAAGGTGGAACAATGCGGAATCTGCTGAACCTTGCTTCGATTTCCGCGCTCGCGTTGAAGGGACAGCCGTAGCTGCCTAATAGTTGACTCAAAACTTGTCTGAAGATCCTCATCAACGCTGGCATGATCCACCTCCAACAAACCATCACAGACTATCTCAAATTTCGCCTGCAAGTCAGATGCCATGCTTATGTAATCTTGCAGCTCGTAGTCATCAACATCGCGAAGTCGAGCGGGATCAAGTTCCGAGGACAATCTATTGAGTCGATCAGTTAAATTCTTGATCTTTATTTTAAAAACAGCAGCCTGGGTTCCAACCGCCACTTGACTAGCTGATGTCGCCTCATCATTTCCATTTGCACTTGCACCTTCATCAAACATTATGAATGTAGCGCACAACAAGGTTCACACAGCCGAACTACAATACAAGTCTGATCGCGCAAGTGTTCGTTCGAGCGAGATAGCGTATAGCGGGTTATAGCGCGCAACGATTAGCGGGGATTTGCTACGGCGTTTATGTATAACAACCAACTGTATGCAGATGCGCAAGCAAACGGCTCACCACACAGCTTTGCCCGAACTGATAACTGTCCGTTGACACGACAAGAACGAAGTACAAGAAAAAATAGAAAAAATGAAAGAAAGAAAATTCACGTCGGGGTCACCAAAATGTGTAGTTGCAAGCTTTTTTGCAACCAATTAATTCTAACTGCTTGTGCAGCGAAATTCAAACACTTAGATTAGTTTTCAAATGGATTTATTTGCCGCGCAGGGCACTTATTAGAATTTATAAGTTTTAAATTGTTGCTTGGCAGCCAACTCGAATTAGTTGTGCCTAGGTTGCGATCAAAACGAAAGACTGACTGGTTATGACAATATGTAAAGCGAATCGAAACGAAACTCCAATAAGACGCTCGCCGGTTAGAGCGAAGGGCAGCAATGCAAGCAAAGCAATTCAGAAGGAGAGTGGACAGCAGCTTACAAAGAGCGCGCAAAAAAACTATTTGCTCTTAGGCTGTAATTATGATTGTTATTTTCTGCTGTTGGATGATGTCCGCAGCCGTCGGTGTTATCTCTGCTGTTACTTGACCAAACAATGCCCTTGTAAGTTTTTGTATTCACGTTGCACGTAAAAAACTGTAATTCGCATGAAATAAGATGGCTCACCACTCCACTCGGCTATGAAGGCGATCCAACTTGTGTCCTTCCTTCCATTTCATCTGAAAATACAATATTTTGCCAATTTGAATACTAAATCAATCTGAATTCCACGTCGTGCAAAGTTTAAACGCATTTATTGTTAAGCTAAGTAAAGAGCAGGTTTTAGTTCCTTTAAATGTTGATCATGAGTGCCACTCACAATTATACTGTTTCCAATTTTGTTCGACAATATCTACAGACATAGCTATTGAATATTTAATTTTGTCGTGCTAGTCCTTTTCTTAAATTATAGATTTATTGTTTTCACTATACTACTCTTTAAAAGGAAAATATTTATGTTGAATTGGGCTTCACTTATATACCATTTTAAAGTGTGATTTTATTTTTACATGCTTCTAAAGTTCCAACAAACTGTTGCGCGCTTGAAATCTAATTTATGGGCGACAAGTTCGTGAATCCTGGTTTCACCTACTTAGGTACTCTCGTTTCACTTGTTTGCTATTCGATTTTATGCTTGAGGGACCTTTAAACCCTTTTTATATCGCTGCCTAAGGTAAAGTAAGGATATTCGATTAAAAAGCTTTTATTTATGCAAAAACTTGGACAAGGAAGCCTTACTCTGTCTTGACAACACATCCGTCGACAAGCCAGACATTTTCACATCATAATTTCAAGTCAAACTATAGCTCTAATATAGTTGACATGCGGCTTTAACAATTGTAGCTAAAGCAGCTAGTAAAGTAATATATGTATGTGTAGTGCTCACCGCTAGTCCACGATGACCTGGCAAGGATGTTCAGTTGGGCGCATGCGTTAAACAAAATTTTTAATACTAAAATAATAAATTCTCTGCGTCAATTCATAGTCTGTTTGCCAAAAATAGTTGGCGATAGCGATAAAATGAAAGATACTTGATCTGCTTTTAAAATTAGCTACCTGTCAAATTTGGTGGCTCTAGCTCTTAAAACCTAACAGATTTGCACAAAAAGGGGATTTCGATGTCGAGTTTTACCGATTGATTGGAATCGATGCTGATCAAGAATGTATACCTACATACATATATACATTTACACAAATAAAATATACCCTGTTTAGCCATTTTAAATTGGTTTTAGGGTATAATAGATGAAAGAATAGCTGGAAACAAAATGATTTACCGATTAATTGGAGTCGATGCTGATCAAGAATATATACCTGCATTCATACATGCATTTACACAAATAAAATATACTCTGTTTAGCCATTTTAAATTGGTTGTATGGTACAATAGATAAAAGAATAGCTGGAATCAAAACTATATATATTTATTGAAATTGTTAGTGCAATCGAACTGGGGGTGACATTACACGTGACATTACATTACATTGGACCAGAAAAGCAGATTGGCCACCACGTCTGAGTAGCCTAAGGTTGTTTATAAAAATAATATATTTTTTGTACAAATAAAGTAAGAGCTACAGTCCGGCAAGGTTTTCAGCAGTGGCTCCCAAACTTTTTTCCAATTCAAAGAAAACAATAAGGATAATTTTAATATTATAATTCTCATTTCTAATTCTATTTATTATTAACTAGCGGTCATATCCTGGCCTTGCCCGTAGCACGTATAAAATAAATTGAAAATGAGTTTTTGGCCAATTTACCACTGTTTCAGGTGGAATTTCCCAAATCATTAAAACTCATACTTATTAGGTTTTTGTGTATAGCTTTAAAAGTAATTTTGAGCAAATCGGAAAAAATTAAAACATCATCAAAAAATCTTTTGAGTTGCACTTTTTACCGAGGATGCTTTGATTTTGCCAAAAATGAAAAACCCCTGCCAAATGATTTTTCTTATGGATCTTTAGAAATGAATTTAAGCGCAAAACGTCACCCACAACATCTATGACACCCATTTCCACCAAGAAGGGATAGATTTTCCAAAAAAGTGCGAAACACTCTTTAACTGAATTTGAGCAACGATCTTTGAAAAGGAGTTGGATGGCAATTCATTTTTGGAAAAGTGCAAAACACCCCTGAAATTAATTTGAACAAAGAACTTTAAAGTTGGGTGTGAGGCCGATCGGATGGTAAACAAACAAGTTTCACATTAACGTTTTTTGCGGTTTTTCAAAACTTGCGGCTGGAATTTTTATTCTTTGTTAAAAGAAATGCGAATAAAAAGTTAGATCAAAACCATTGTGAAGCTTGTAATGGCAAAGTTAAGTAAAGATGTCTTTGAAACAAGAAACTTTTCAACCAGACAACTTTAACACTAATACTAACTATTTTCTATATGGGATTGCGGTCTGATTCTTCCGAGTCGAATGCGAAATTTCTATACCTTTTTTCCAGTGTAAAATGATATATTTGATTTGAACAATGAATGAATTGGTGTCCGTATCATTGTGATATTTCAACGTTATTGAACCTAGAAAATTCAATCTTAATATATGTAAAGCTTAAATTAAATACAAGCATTACAACGAATTTTTAATTGTGAATTCACATCCACATACATTATAAAGATCAAGCAAAAACATTTCGGCGAATTCCAAATCTATGTATCTCGCCATTTTAAAACTAGAGTCACAGACTTTAATGTAAAAGTCACCGCCTCTGTCAAACACACTAATTTTAGCTGAATTACGCTGTAATGCATAATCGCCACATCTATAGTAATCCCTCAACAAGTAAGAGGTTCTAGTCGGGAGCTCCCTAATAGGCGATCCCCTGAACCCTCTTCTTCCAACATCAAATGCATGTATATATTCTATTTTAGAAGCTATATGTCAAGTTTGGTGACTCTAGCTCTTATTATTTACCAAAAACAGGATATCGATTATCGGAAACAAGCTCTATCTGCCCAGGCACTAGGAGGACCTACATCTAAGTCAAGTCTCTAGCTCTTATAGGTTCCGAGATCCTTGCGTTCATACATACGGACAGACGGACAGACGGACAGACAGACAGACAGAAGGACAAGGCTAGATCGACTCGGCTATTGGTGTTGATCAAGAATATATATACCTTATGGAGATGCTTTCTTCTGCCTGATACATACATTTGGATTTTGCACAAATACAATATACTTATACCCATTTTTAATAGGTACAGTGTATAAAAAGCAAAAAAAAGTTTTAGAGCCCCATATGACGAACTTTTTCAATCGCACTGCAGGAGCAGATTGCATCGGATTGCTTTGGATTGCTTTCATTGATATATATAAGCTCGCCTCATCAGTGACATATGTTCTATGTACACCTTGGACGGTGTCATGATATTGGAGACTTGTACCTCTTCGATTCTGCACTATGCAACAGAATTACATATTTGGTAACGTTTGACGAACCAAATGTTTTAGGTAAATTTGAGGTCTCTATTTTGTAACAATTCTCCAATGGAAAGGTTTTTTATTTATATAGTATATATATTATCGTTGTTCGTCCGTCTGTCCGTACGTATGATCGCTTTTATCTCAGAGCCTAAAACAGCTAGAGTCTTAACTTGAACACCAGTACTTTTATGAAAATATCTTTGATTTTACGGGGTACAAAATTATAATAAATAACGAAAATAAGGTATCTTTCAGTTCATAGCTACAGCCCCCACCAATCGTTATAAATCAAATAAATAAATTAATATAAACTACCTATCAATTTAAGCCTCAATTAGAACTCTGTTGTCTTTTTGAGAATATACTATTATAATCAAAACGTGTGTTTATATTGATAGTGACGTGGTTGCCGCAGCTTGCGCTAGTTGCTAGTATTTCTGTATAAGTTAAAACTGGGCACTATCAAAATGCGACACTGAGATCTTGTACTCTGACAAGTGCTGAGTAACTCCCAATGTCCAAGCTTGCAGGGGAAACTGCTACACATGAGATTGAACGAGACGCAAGGTCAGCACTATTGCGAGCGACGTCTGCAGCGCTGCCGCCAGCCGTCTGACACTAGGGCTTAGCTGTAGGGTTTATTAACAATTATAATTCAGTTCCAACTTTATAACAAAACATTAGAGTGTCCACTAAAGAAATTGACCCCTTAAAATAACCAATTAACTTATTAATAACTATCGTACAATAGTTAAAGCAATCTCGCGACTAGTGCAGTTTAAAAAACAAATAAACAAACCAAACTATACAAGCAAATAAAAAAAAATACCACGCGATCTGGTAAAATCTACGATAGACGAGCAGCTGAGGGACTGGACCACCGTTGGACTAGAACATATTTGTCTTAACAACATAACCATGTAAGTGATTTCAGAATTGAAAATAATTTTTTTTGTGTGGTGGTAGAATATTTATTTTGACTTAACTCTTATATAAATGCCACTGCTCCAACGAGCTATTGTCATGATAAAATGCGCGCAGTTCATCTTGTTGTTTTTTATTATCATTTGTTAATATTGAGATTTACTTTAATACATCTATATTATATTTTAAGTAATACTATAGTTCATTACAAAAAATGAGCGCTAGCGTCAGTCCTTCAGCTCTACTAAAACTTACTTTTACATTTTATTGGTTAAGTTACATTCTTTTATAAAGTAATAAATCTTATCTATATTGGAGGGGGAGACTAAGGATTAATAGATCAACGGTAATGAGTTAGGGAAATTGGCTCTCCTTATATTTTTCAGTTTTCGGCAGGATTTTAGAATGTGGGTGGTCGATAGCTCAATACCAAATAGCGAACAATTAGGATTTTTGTCTCCGGTCAGCAGGTTGACATAGCTGACGATCCGAAGGCGAAAAAAGATTGAACATTGCAACCTTGCTGTAGTATGGCTAGTTTGTTGCCAATACATGTTTTTCCAAATGCTACACATAGAGATTTTTTCAACGGACTGGAAAAATATGTAGGACAATCAGTAATATAACATTTTCCCTAGGGCAAAAACATTCTTCTGTGACAATCAGACATATTTTAATTCAGAGAAAATCACGACACTGTTGAGCGACAAACGTTGTGGACGCGCCGCCGTTGCAGAGCAAGGGCCAAGAGAAATGATTCCACAGCAGTATCATAGCGATGGCGAGATGTCTGAAGATAGAAAGAAAAATTGACGGTCGACC